TAATGACACTTCGTAAGACTGAACAGTATTTTCATTCAAAATGCATCTTGTGTATTTGTTATACTCGCATGTACATGTTGCTTGCGAGAAATCCGATCAGTGTTAATCTCATCTCATGTTGGACATCCCATATTGTCACACGTTTCTTACACATTTTATTACATCTTTGATACATAGAAATATATTATATATATATATATATATATATAATACATACATTTTTGTCATGTAATTGATTATTGTTGAGCGAGAGCGAGAGCGAGAGAGAGAGAGAGAGAGAGAGAGTGACTGCGGAATAAATATTTGTCATTGGTCATCGAGTGTCTTATTAACGCTTGTTATCCGAATTTGTTTCATCCATACATCACATCATGAAGATAGAATAATATATACGTAGTCAGAATAGGTAGAGATATTAAATCGGCGGTAATTTTTATTTTAATTAAATTTTAATATCAATTATTCATCTACATCATTCGGACGAATTTCAACATCCTTGGATTCAAGCTATGTTTAAGATACGTTTATCAATAAGCATTTTTTAGATATCGGCTAGCACGGATTGTTGAAGCAGATACTTTAGACATAAATTTGTATACGAGCAAAGAAGAGACTATGTCGTATGAATATATTAAGAATTGTGTCATCATGCACAATCATATAATAGAGTTAGTATCTCTGAATAATTACATTATCATTTTTGTTGCCAGTAATTTGGTATGCGTTTTTATATTTTTTAAATGAATACCATGTATTTGATATTTTTTACGTATGTAATAAATTAAGTGTATAAATTCAACTCAATTTTTGTCTATTTACATTATTAATTTTATTTAATAAATAATCTCCTTTCTAAATTGATCAATGTTTTATTCTTTATTCTTTGAAATTTATACAATACTTTAGCACATGTATCTTTTTATTATTAATTTTATTATATACATTTTTCTCGAACATGAAGGTATGCTAGACGTATCGAAATTGCGAATACGACATCGTATTTTTTTCAACTAGGTTTCAATATGATGGGCATGACATTCACAATATTCCAGGTCAGTACAATGATAAGTACACATATGCAATCATGATTATCATTACTGATAAACTTTACCCTAGTGAGAAATGATAATGAAATCAACATCGATGTTTATTCGTCATCGAAATCAATTCAACATCGATTTTATTGTCATTTTTCATTGAAACGTCCATTAAAAATTTTGTCTTTTTTATGATGTTTGACTATCATGCTTAAAATTAGAATTAATTTCTTTAAACTATTTATATACGTGCGAGTATAACAAAACGAATTTACGTTTATGAGTTAGGCAGTGGTAAAGTTGAGTGATCCAAATGAAGCTCTGCGATATGCATCGTTCACGGTGACTCTGTTATCCGTACTCTTCCTCGAAAGCTGGCCGGGTCAGCAACTATCAGATTATACTAACAAAATTTTTGCATTTACGTAAGTACTTCGTCATGGAGGCATTTTAGTTACAGTTCAGCATTGACAATTTCTGAAAACAATTAACCGATAATACTTTGTTCAGATATTGGTACATTTGATCTATACATGCAATCGCTTTATACATATTTACCAGAAATAATTATAAATAAAAAAATAGTAAAAAAAAAATTATAAATAAAAAATAGTTTAACACACATCGGTATTTCAGAACCAACGGAAGATGGTATCAGTCTTCGCTAAGAATAAGAAAAGTGATCAGCATTATGCTGATAAGGAGTTACGTGCCAATCAAGATAACTGCGGGTAAACTGTACGCCTTGAACTTGGCAAACTTCGCTTCAGTAAGATAACGTCTTTAAAAACGAAATCTGACAGCGTATTACCGTAAAGATTGACACATCGTCTTTTTAAGGTCGTACGCACGTCGTTTTCTTACTTCACTGTTCTTTGTTCTATGCAATGAGCGAGACTTGCTGCAGCTCAAAAGCTATTATTGATGACAACAACTACAAGCAACTGATTTGCCCTTATTTTCTTTTTCATGACGACTCGTGAGTCATAAGTGACGATGGCTACGACGATTTGGTAAAGTCGATACACTTAAATATTTTTGGCGCGCGATTAGAACATTCACAAGAAAAATAAAGTAAAAAATCACAATACATTGTTTAACAGATTAACGTGTTCGAAAGAATTTTTTTTTAAGTCAATAGGTTTCTTATAGTTTTATTTAAGTATCTACAGAAACGGCATTGAAAGGAAAATTATATTATAAAGCAGTCTATGTACGCAGTCTTTCAAGACCTCATTTATTCTTAAAATATGATGAATATGTGATGAATATGTAATACAAATATCATCAGTTACGATCAAAACTTTTGTTACAGAAATTGTAGCATCAAAAAATATGACGATGATATATGCAATACCTTTAACAAAATTTTATTTTTATTTTACTTATTTATTGCACACACTAATATCTTTTAAAACAATTATATTTACCGTGTTAAAAATTATACATATAATAACACAGTAATTTTATCTATTTTTATCTATTTTAGTATCTTTCACTTCTCATTATCGTCATTATAAAAAGCTTTCTTGCCACTAGCACTGTACTGCGTATCATTATGTATTATATTATCTGCAAATTTTTAAATGATAGACTTACGAGATATATAAGTTTATCAAAAATCTATTATACTGCCATTTTTTTTAAATTTTCTGTATATTTTTATTATACAATAATATACTTTCTTAAAGGATAAAAATGCAAGTATAGGTACCAATATTTTCATATTTGAGTATGATTTTCTAATAGCCAATGTAAAGTAGAGTATTCTTCAGCATTATCACGTTAAAAAAGTTTGGATTTGAGCATGAATTATTCAATTTACTTCTGCAACTTGTATTGGAATTTATATTATTAGGAATAAAAACATTCTTATAAAAAAATTACTTTCTTCTCATGTAAAATATAGACAAATTGTACTAAATAGCTCAATAAGTTTAATACGAATAGTATTAAACTTATTAAGCTGTCGTATCTTTTTTTTTTCGTATCTTTTTACTTTACATCAGCGTATACAAGCGACTGCTTCGATTATTCGTTATTTTAACTAGCATGTGGTAAAAAAATTCAGTAAGTCGAGCGATGATGTGCGCAAAATGTCAAATTGCAATTATTGACAAGTTGGGATTAAATTTAATTATATGGAAATGCGATCTAAAAATTTTTTATTAAATATATGCTATTTTTAAGCTACATTAATAAATTCGTAAATAAACTAAATATTAATAAAGTAAAACAATTTTTTTAATAAGTGTCTTAACTGGCACATGTCACACATTATCGCACTTAAAATTCATTACTAGTAATTCCTTAGATATTAGCTAACAATTTCTTTATGATCGTTCGATTTAAATTTACTCACTTCAGATTTTAAAGTTTTATTGAATTATTTTTAAAAATGCACTGGAAGGAGCAGTTGTTTCTATAAAAGTATGTTCTTAAAAAATCTCATTTCTATTGCTTACTAGAGTGAAAAGAATGATAATGAATATATTATCAATTACAGTGAAAAATTTTTGTTACAGAGACCGTAGTAGCATGAAGTATGATGATGACATACGTAATACCTTAAATAAAATTTTATTTTTATAAAATCATTTTATATATACCACAAAATAATTATGCTTACTGTATTAAAAGTTATGTATGACAATACAAGAATTTTACCCATTCTCAGTCCCGATGGTTTTTCAAAATTTTATAAAATCATTTTATGCACAAAATAATTATACTTACTGCATTAAAAGTTATATATGACAATACAACGATTTTACCAATTCTCAGTCCCGATGGTTTTTCACTTCTCATCATTATCATTATAAGAAGCTTTCTTGCTTCTATAGGCATATTATACCATTCAGAATTATATCTGCAAATTTTACAAAAAATCTATTTAAAATTATATTATATATTTATACTTCTGTTTAACATTTTGTTATTATAGATTAATATGACTTTTACAAATGTGCTACTTTTAATATTATACAAAACGTACGCAGATTCAAACACTTTCTCACTGGAATCTATGATTTTTTGACCTTGCCAGTTTACAAAAAATACAGTAAATAAAACTGCATTTAGATAAGCAAAGAGATTTACAAGGCGATTAACGTCTTGCACATTTTTTATCACCTACACAATAATGAAATGTATTAGGTGTTGGAATTAATTCGTAGCGTTTTACAAGTGATGGGAAGTACTTTCATTAATGTATTTTTTAATGCTCATGTGAAATAAATAACATTCTTTCATTAAAAACGCTACGAATTAATTCCAACACCTAATATAATTAATAAAATATAATAAATACATCAATTAATATAATAAATACAATCAGTGATAATTAAATCAGTTTAATTAATGTTACTGTTTATTCATTTAAGTAATTTGTGTGATAGGAACATATCCAAAAACTGTTGCAGTCTTAATAAAATGTTCGGTAGGTGTACCTGATACCCCAGAAAACTTATAATAAGTACAGTCAATCCTGTCTGTATAGAGAGAGCTAAGCTATATGCCGACTCCACAATGGCAACAAATCTAATGTACAAAGATATTTGTTACTATTATTATTTGTTACTATTGCCTGTACGCAATAAAAGTAACGCTCTACATGCCTAAACATGTACTCACTGTATCGTTTCTGTGTGTCTGCGAATACTGTAGACGATATTCGAGTAACATTTATCCTTTGTAATCGTTAATTTGGAAACTAACGCAATTTCCAACCGAGATCTAAACTCAATATTATAACAAAATTTAAAGGAATAATATTTGGAAAAAGTTTTACAGCACACAACAATATAGGAACAAACTATTCCTTTATTTGCGTTAGATTGATCTTGATAAAAATCATGTATTTAAACAATGATCATTTATTAAACTTACCTCAAAGCTATGAACAAACCGCAACTGTACTCGATCACTATTAGATACAGAACATCGAATACAGATAATAAGACTGTATATATAAGGTCACATACACTACAATGTATGAAAATTGGAACGTAATACGTGTCTAGATCAATCATGTAATTAACGCGATAAGGTAATCCTGTTTGGGATTTCAGCTCTTCATTTGCTAACTCATTAGTCTTGTTGGATTCCACGTAAGAAAGTTTTGTCAATAGTGGTGCAAATAAATAAAGGATGGTATGGCTTAGTAAAAAACCTAAATTGCAGGAAAATTTTCATAATTTATGTGTTATATTTTTATATAGTATATTAAGCATCACAAGCTATTCCTTAAACATCATAATTTAATACTTTTATGCACAATTAAAACAATTATACTTTAAAAGTCAATTATACTTTTAAAAATGTCATTCAATGCTTTTTAATGACGATAAACTTTGTGCTTTGACTTTAAAAAATTCATTGAACATCGATTTTTTTTATTATTATTTGTTTCCATTAAGCCATACAAATTTTTTCTGAAATATTTTTCCAGAAAATATTCCTCTTTCAAAATAATCAATTACATTATTTGGAATAAAATATTCTATAAATCATAAAATATTTTTAAATATATTATAGTATGACAAGAGTTTCTCAAAATCATTTAGAAACTAAAATTTGTATATTTGAATATTTAACACTGCACTGCATTATATTGAGTTCGATTGTACTATTGCCATCAGTCACCCGTGTAAACATAGCCTAATTTTTTCCCATATAGCGCGTGCGAATTCTGTATCTTTTCTTCTTCGTCCGACTTCGGGGAAAGACAATACTCGTGCATCTTTATTAGAAGCATTTTGATCTATGGCTCAAAAAAGATTCCGATATAAGATATAATTTTGCATAACTTTCTATATTTGCTATTACTTTTATCATAAATTATTTATTAGTAGTACTTATCGATACTGTTTATCGATATACGCCGCGATGTCATCTTTATTTACATACCTGTGGTAGTGCATGTATTGTACAGAACGTTTTACTTATAATTACTACGGCGAAAAATAGCGACGGCACGGTATCGAGCAGTTCGAAGGGGTCATGCCAAATTTCAGTAATACCCAAAATCTGTAATTTCCGTCATTTATAACATTGTACACATGTCATGCAAGAAATAATTTCAATTGAAATATCGGAAATAACACTAATTATGTGAAGTGCATTTAACACGAGAATTTTTATGCACATATAATTGTTTTAGAGAAATTAAGTAAGTAAAGAAAGACTTTCTTTTTCACCCTTTTTTTTAGAAGATAAAACAATAATGAAAGCTGTAATAGTAAACACTTGCAATACTGTCTTAAGATTGTTCACATTTATCTTATATATCTTATACCTGGAATATAAATCCAGATCCGAGTATAAGCACCATAGCAAAATATATCGCGTAACGCCTGTTTCGCGTATGAAAAGGCCATAGACCACTGATGCTTAGTAGTAGTCGAATGATGTTATAATGCGAATCCTGAAAGAACTGATCGATATCACCCATTCTGTCTCTTATTTCCTGTTGTTATTATTACAGAAGCGAAATTCTGTACCTATGTGATACCCCAACTTCAACAAAGAATACAATTCACATCAATTTCCTATTGACAATTCTGTTTAATGTTGGTAGATATAAAATCAAAAATATATGTCTTTACCGCTAAAATCTTCATTGTAAAGTCGTGAAATTATCTTATGTAAATTGCACAATGATAGAGAAAGAGGATAGCCATACTGAAAATATTATCTTTGTAGATACGACGCAGTTATAAGGGATATAAAAATTTTATTTTCAAATAGAGTCGATCGAGACTGTTATATAGAGATACAGTTGCTTCTAATTAAAATTAAAATGATTATATTAAGAAATCATAGACTTGTGAAGTAGTTGCTTATCAAAAGTCTATTGCATATTGCTGTTTTTAAAAGTTTTCTATATTTTTATTAAGAATATGGAGGAATTTTTCACAAAGTATAAAAAATGCAGGTATTGATATTTTGGTCTTTAATTATGATTTTGCGTAGTCAACGTATAAAATGAAATGCTATTCAACGTTGTTACGCTCTAGACTTGAATTCGAGCATAATTCATACAATTTTTCTCTACATATATATATATATATATATTAATAGAAATAAAATTTAAATGTTAAAACACAGCAAAAACGAGCATATCTTTTTTACAGGACTTTTTTTTCTTAATTTATCATTTCTTCCACGCTTCTGAAGTTTTGACATTTAAATTCTAGACATCCTGTGTACTGAAGAATCTTTAGTTCTGTAATTTTAAGATATTTCTCCGGTTACAATCGTGCTAAAAAATTAATTGGGGTACAACCTACGAATATACCTCTCCGCGCTCCCTGAAGAGAGAAACTTTTGAGACGAACGAAAAATTCATGTTTCTCCTTTCAATGACACGCATATTCAAAATAATTAATAATTAATTTCTTATTGTTATTGCAACCAATGACAAGAGACAAGCTATTATAATATATCGCGCCGATGACAAAAGACAATCTATTGTAATTGACAATATAATGATAATTTGTTAAGATTGATCAAGAATTGAATTAATTCATTTATTATATATAATATAAAAAATTTAATATTAATCAACATGTTTTATATTCATAGAGATAATCAGCAAGTTTAATGTTTCAATTTAATACAATGATTGAGGAACCATACAACCTTGGATAATTCGAATAAATTTCAAGAGATCATTTGACAAGATATAAAAATAAGGATATTGTTACTTATATATTTGTAGATATATGATTTCCTAGAATTGATTTTAATGTAAGAAGGACTGCGAATATAAAATTATTAAGTATTGATTAGAATTTATTAAAACTTTTTTAATAATTTAATAATTTATTAATATAAATAACTACAAACGTTTCGACCTTTTAAACTTGGTCGAAACGTTTGTAGTTATTTATAGTTATTAATAAATTATTAAATTATTGAAAACATTCGCAAATAGTATCTAGCGCGGCTCGAAGCCAGATAAATCAATATTATTGAATTCGTAGGAGCCTTCCGAGTGAGAAATGACAATGGAATCGACATAGATGTCGATTCGATGTCGAAATCATCGAATTGACGTCGAATTCATTGTCATTTCTCACTGGATTGTTAATATTATAGTTTATTCTGTAGAATTCCTCGGAAAAATACTTTAAACAACAGTAATGTAATTTATGATTTGTTCTTTTGAAGGAATATAGTTTCTTTATCATATCTGTTAGATATAACAACATTTAATCCTAATGTAGCAGCTTCCTCGCGTATAATATCACATTCTTCTTTAGTAAAACCCTCTGAGAGATTTTGCCTTACTGCATCGTTACTGTTGATAAGTCTTTCACACAAATCACGGGCGGCTTTTCGAAATTCAGTTACTTTCATTTGTTCATCCTTGGATCTGAAGCAATTTTTCCACAAGCGTTTCTCTATTTCCAGATACTCACGTTGTTTCACATTTGTCTAAAAAAATAAAATAAAAAGGATATACTGTTACAACAAAATTTTGTAAAAAATTTTCAACTTACTGTCCGAATTGCTTTTCTAATAAAGTCATCGTGCGGTTCTAACACATGAGCTTTCTGGAACTCCTTCATTGCTTCATTATATACTCCAATACTCAGCAAAGCTTTTCCATGCCTAGAATACAAGAAAAAAAAATTTATTACAATACTGATTTAATATATTTATACCTAAGCAATTAAATCAGTAAAAAAAGTACATACTGATAATGGCTTTTAGCTGTTGGTTTTGGAACTTTCCTTAAAGCTGAGCAAGCTTTAGTAGGCATGTTTTCCTTATTATGACAAATTCCAAGATTGATGTAAGCTTGTGAGAGTAATTGATTCATTTCTTCTTCTTCTAAATCATCTTTTAACTTGACTGATTCCAAACGATTAATAATTTTTGTATATCTTCAAAAAAATATATATTTAAGAGATATGACTGCATATTCATAAAAATTTCATAACATCAGTTACTTACTCTCGTATCGCTTGTTTGTAGTTAAATTTTGTAAAATAGTCTCTAGCAGTCATAAACATATGTTTCACAGGCTGTAACACATATTTAAATAATTGTTTCTCCTCTTCGGTAAGATCTTGATATGTTCGTGCATAGCCATCATCAATATAATCAACTAAAGTAACGACAAAGACCACTTCCTCGTTAGGTGGAATACGTGGTGGACAACCAATAGCCTTGTAAGCATAATCAGGATGTATCAAAAATACTGCTATTTCGTGCTTTTGCATAGAACGTATACCAATTTCTAAACCCGATATAATACAATTCTGGCCTAAACGTAATGATCTTGGTTTCCCAACACAGTACGCAGAATCAAAAGGTTCATCTCTGTATTCAAAATATCCAACATAATGGACAATCGCTTGAGCATTGGGTGGTATAATTTTTCCAACACCTTTCTGTTTAACATATTTCATGACCTAATAACAATTTCATATTAAGCTTGTTAAAATAACATGATTTCATTTTAATAACAAACTTATCGATAAAATTAAAGATAATATTATCTCTATAAAAAAGATATAAAACAATATAAAATATGATTAACTTTTCCATTTGTAGTTAAGCTTGTCATCTTTGTCTTCAGTTTTGAAAAGCTTATGCCATAGAGTGATGCAGTTTCTTTCACATCCTCGTCTTCATCTTCGAAATCATTCATGTTTAACATATTTAACATTTCTTCATTGCTAAATTGTACATGTGAAGAATACGAAAATTCTTCATCCTCCTCATTTTTAATAATATCATCTTCAATTTCAAACATAATTCCATTATCATTCATCAAATCCCTGGAATAATATAATAAATATGTAAGAGCCTAATGCCTAAATTCTAAGCAAAATCGTAACACTCGTAACAATATTCTTGTAAGAATTTTTAAGAATTTGTAAGAATTTTTGCTTATATCTTTGTACAATATTTTTACAGACAGCTTCTTATTAGCCATAAAATTTACAAGAAATTGTAAATATTTACGAATAATCGTATGTCTTACGATACATACGCATAAAATTAGGATATTAGTCAGAAGTTCTTACAAGTTTTTACGAGAACACATTACGAGTCTTGCGATTCTGCTCAGAATTGACTTGAATAAGATACGCATGCTAATTTAATTATTAATATAATTTTTATATACCCAATCTTAAAACCGTCCACCATAGGATTTATGCTTCTTGCCATTTTTCAAGTTGAAAAATTCCGTCGAAAAATTTCTTGTCAATTAATTCAATCAATCAATTTGTCTTTTTAACTTCTACGTACTCTATGTACTCCGTTCTATCTTCTTTTTCTGAAACACGTGGGCTAAGAATCTTCTCTTACAACAGTTACAATACTTGTATCTCTATAAGTACGTTTCTTCTTTCTTTTCATATATATATAATATATACTGTACGATACCACGTGTTGCATATGCACGGTTTAACGGTTCAGAAATTCGATTCAAGACGAAGAACACACCCGACAAAGGCTGTAATCAAAATCTCTCTGCTTTGAAGCATTTGATGGACTAATTAGAAGAAAGAATTTTACAAACTGATCAGTTAAAAAACGCGTTTACAGCACCCAAAACGTGAGAATGCATTCAGAAATTCAGGGTATATCACTTTGTCCTTGTTCACTGAATATTAGACAAGATAAAATAATAGGTCTGTTCTTTTTGGCTAAACTTTTGCACTAGTTCATCTTTCTTCCTCTTCTTTCTTCCTGGAAAGAAAAAGAAGAAAGATGAACTGGTGCAAAAGTTCAGCCAAAAAGAACAGACCCAATTGGGGGCAGGCACAGACGAGAACTATGAAAGAATGTCAATCCTAGGCAAGTTTTCGGAGGTATAAAAAGGGCCTCAAGGGCCCGGAGATAATTGAAGAACGCTGACATTATCGACAATTGATATAAATTTGCTATTATTAAGATAAATATTTGGCTCGTACATTATCAAATTCATGATTTTTTTATTACATAAATAAATATATTTGTAAAGCTATAATATCCTATATATTGCAGAAAAATTATAATTTTTTCTCTGCAGTTATCATCTCTGTTGATAATCAAACTTTGACGAGACACTGAAATCACAATTTGAAAGAAAAATCGGATATTACTGAGTTCTAAATACATAAATACGTCTAAATTAATAAATCGTAAAATTAATACATATTATCAGTTTTTAACTTTAAAAGTATTTTGTCGAGGACGGGGAGTGAAGTTTCTGAGGCACCCCGTCCTTGCATAGTATCGGAAATACAATACAACGTTCGAAATTGCGTTGCTTCGTAAGCCCAGAGTTGCATTCCGCTTCATGCATGATGTGCGTGATGCATTATTTATCCTTATTTAATATTCGGTGAATAACAAGATAAATGAAACATCATGTACATGAAACGGAAAGCAGTTCAGATCTACTATAAGTTTTTAAACTTTAAGCCATAAGAAATGGATGAATAAAATGGATGAATAATCAACCCAGAGAGAGCACAAAGTCGTCTAAAAGATAACTAAAAGATGACTAAATTATTATAAAGATATTTTTTAATGAAAAAATATAGTCGACGAAAAGATGATTAAAAGACAATAGATGTCGCATTGCTAATCATTTTATAATCTTATCCATATAATAAATAAAGGACTTCTTTGGATATCTTTTAGTCGTCTTTAATACTTCTTTTTTTATATTTTAATATAATATAATGTTTAATAACATCGAATTCCTAAATTAATTTTTACACAAAACGAAATAAAATTGCATGACTGACAATATACGTCACATTTCCTGTAATGTTTGCAGTGTCCTATGTAAGAGTCATTATCTTTTATCATAGTCCCCTTTGAGAGCACAATTATAAAAAAATATTTTATTAGTGTTCAAAAGATGTTCGTACATGTTAACAAAAGTGAAACTCCTTATGCGATCTTAAAAAAAAATTTCATTTGTCAAATCAGCGAAAGAAGGAACATTGACAACTTGAAGTTGGACAATGTTGTCTTTAGTCAAAAAATTTCTGAATTGGGTGAGATGAATGATATTTGCTAACGTATTTTGCTGCAAAAAGCAAAACTGCACAGTGTAAAGACGCAAGACTTATAGAAATCGCGTAATTATAGAGAAGAAGAAACAATCATACTGAAGATATTTTCTCAGTGGATTCAACATAGACAAAAGAGGAATAAAAATTTTATTCGTAAATTGATTTAATACCAGACTATTACGAGAAGAAGTAGGCGCTTCAAAATCGGCTGTATTAGAAGATAACAGTCTTACAGAGTTATACACATAAGCTTATTAAAGGTCTATTGTATTGTATATTACTATGGGAGATTTTTCTATACTTATATTTAATTAAAGATAAATAAAATGGACCTGGTTTATCAAAAAGATAAAAAAGTACAAATATAAGTATATTTTCGTATTTAATTATTTTCTCAGAAATATAGATGATTTATTATTAATTAATAATAAAGCATTATATATAGTTATTGTATTAATAATAAATTTATATTTTTTAGAAGAGAAATTTCGAAATTTCTAGATTACAGTTCGTAAAACTGTGAAATATGAAACGGATGCACGTACGACCTACAAAAAAAGAAGCAATATCAAAACTATTAATAAAAAAGAAGCACATATAAAAGTATTCATAGTCCGTTATTAATTCAAAACCATATCTTAAGTCTTAAGATGTTAATACGCCTCTATAATTGGCTTGTGACATCTCAAAAAGATTATACTTAAGACTGTCTTAAATATAAGAACCGTCTATGAATATGGTCAAAGAAAATTATGTCAAGTTTTACCGCGCTGAAACTCGGAAAAGAAAGTATCATGATTTTTCCAACAGTCAATGTACAAGGTGAAGTACTTCTCAGCATTATCATATTCAAAAGCTTTCTGGATTTGGGCGATGATTCATACCATTCACCTCGGTAACTTATATAAAAAATTTTCTCATTATACATATATATCACAAATAGAAAATATTTAGAGGAGCTATTTTGTTTTGTACAGACAATTTACACGATATGTAATAAGTGTATTGGCTAATAAACTTAATATGTATCGTGCAAACGTTTTATACAAGTTACTGCTTAGTAGCTAGATACATGCTATCACTTACGTTGATGTGTACACGCGATCACTATGATCGATTATTTGCTGCCCTAACCAGCAGACAATATATAAATGCAGTAATTGAGCGGTAATGTACGAGGCATGCCGGATTACAAGAGGTGGGTTGAGGGTTCCACTAGTTGCCTAAATGTTCACAAAATCGTGTACTATGATATGTTATTACATTATTATAGTATATATTGTTATGCCCGTGCCTTTTCGACATCCGTGGTGTATAGAAATGAGCGAAACGATTAGCCATTCAAACAAGATCTTCAGATTTGGATGTGACCCGTCAACGTGTCTCTCCAACTGCTCTATCATTTTTTATTCACTATGTTCTGCGTATTCCTCATATTAATTAACGTTTCTTGTTCCTTTTTTACAATCGTATTCTTTATTTTGGCGCTTCGGAGTGCGTGTACGCGTCCACGAGAGCAATCTCGCGAATCTGCCGCACGGGCGCAACAATATTATTTAAAATATTGTATTTAATGTTATTACGATATGTCAAACACAAACCTGTAGAGCCGACATACTCATCGCCAATATGATTAAACCGACTTCGAAGAAAAAAGCTTTTGTGTAAATAGCATCCAAGTACCTCGCGAATCTTGTTTAATGAAAGAGTTTTTGATAATTATGTCTTATTAAAGTACACTCTTTCCTTAAAGTGCATAAATAAAAAAAGTCTTATATTTCTTGCAATTATGCAGAGGTATACACTAACCGTAAGACATCTTTATGTTTTTGTATACAATATGTGAAATTTTTATAAAACTTATCATCTTCCTCAAGCAAAGCGAGTTCCTTATCTTGTTCGATGGACTTTCGTATGTACTCTAATCGATATCTGTGAATCGAAACAAAACATTCGAATTTTTTACAATGAGATGGCAAGAATTGTAAAATGCTAAATGGAATGAGCCGTATCTCAGCGGAGGTTGTATGTACTAACTCTGTAAAAGAATTTTTAATGTTTTTACGTTGATTTTTATTTACAAAATTGGCCAACATTCAAATTTTTGTGTAATAAATAATGAAAACTTCTAGAAATCTTATTATTTATTATTTATATATAACAAAAAGTGCAAAAGTTATTAGTATTTTTACTTAAAAGAAATGTAAGAAAAATAAATTACATTATAAAATATAATTATTATATTAAAAAAATGAATATTGCGAGAATTCGAACTCTCGTTGATCAGATAAGAAAAAGTATAATTATGCACCTTAATCCGTTCAATTATCAACATACAGAGAGAATGCCAAATTTTAATTATTATTATCTCATAATTAAATACCTATACCTACAAACCGCTTTTACAGTGTTAGGCAATTTTAAATAAGCTGTGGCTCATTCCATTTAGCATTTTACAATTTTTGCTATTTCTTTGTTAAATTAATTTATTGAAGCGATCATTTAAATCGTTAACTCTTTATACATACGATTGAGTTATTTGTGTCCTGCACATTTTTTTAACTAGGAGCATCAAGTAATTAGTTGGAATATTTTATATATAATTTTTTAAAATACATAACCATATTAATATATACTTTTTAATGATATTAAAATATAAATGTAAAAATCACTTAATGATTTTTGTATATTGTAAAAATGAAAATTAACTTGAGACACGAAAGACCCATCGTGAGTAGTAAAGGACTGGAAAATTATCGTGTGTATTAACAATAAGTTAAATACCTGACGACTGAAAACAGTACGCAACAATGTTGCACTAGAATAGTCACGAAGGTATCGGTCGCGACTAGGATAGTAAGACGAATGGCAGTAGCTAAGTAATTATGAATCAGTATGGGATAGTAGTACTTTTCAAGATCTACGTAGTATTCCACATGATATGGAAATCCCACTGGCCGCGTCGAATATTCGGAAGTTATATTTTTGTCGATTATTTTCGGGATTATCGCGAGAAACGGAAAAAGGCTGCCAAACGCATACATACCACCTAGAATCAGACAATACCCAGTAAGAAATAACAATGGAGTCGACATCGATTCCATTGTTATTTCTCACTGAGTACTTTAAAAGAAGTTATATTTGTGTACTTTAAATATTGTTGAGTACTCGGATATTTATATAAAAATAAATAAATAAAATATTTATATAAAAAAATTTAATTATTTTTTTTATTAAACAAATTATTTTTTAATATATACTAATTTTTAATAAATAGCTTACTGTGTAGTTGTCATCATGCAAACATAAAATTAATTGTTATTAATGTAATTATTACCTAATGTAATTATTACCTAATTAAAACCTAGTAGGTTTTATGATTGATCAGTTTTAATATATAATATAATATAATATAGTAATCGTTATTTCACTTTCTTACCGGCATAGGCGATAGTAATGCTTCTTCCATTCTCCGCAAATCTATGCAAAATTTCGAATTCACTTTTGATAGTCCATGATCGCCAATCCCTTTGTATATGTATAAGAAGTATTTTGATCTACGACTTAAAATTCCATGTTTTTTTTTACAAATGTGATTTCTTACTTAACCATGGTACTTAACCATGATCTTCTACATACCTTCTTTGTATTGCACGTTAAATTCACCAGCTTAATGATGCATGCGAAGTCTACAACGAGCGGTGGTATACACTCGATAATTGCATCAAAATCGCCATGTAACGTCACTAAAGCGAGTACCTTGAATCCAATACTTGTTTGATGAAGAGATTGAAATAAAAAAATGTTTTGCAAAATATAAAGACATACAATCGATTTATCTATAATTTTATTAATTTTAAACATTTTTAACTTTAAATTTCTAATATTTATATATCTTTTCATATTTCTTATTTTAAAGTTTTAATCTTTGGTATCATTATATGAAGAAAAAAAAATCTTCTCAAGAACAGAGATGGGTTGGTAGCTGATTAATTATAAGAATCGCAATGCAGAAAATGTACCTGGGCGATGGCTTGCGTTACACCAATAAGCGATACTATTAAAAAAATAATCCGCCTGTGTCTGTTTTTTTGGAAAGGCCATTGTCCTAGCAACGAAAGTAGCATACGATTGATTCTATATAATCGGGACTGAAAGATATCGTTCGATGTATCCATCTCCAATCCTTTTGGACTACTGCATCATCGATATTGCCTCTTACAATTTTCATTCTAATAAAAAATTCTCTTAGAAAGAAAAAGAAAGAGAGAGAGAGCAAACATAATAGGTGTAGTGAATTACGAGAAATTGTCGATATTTATATGACTGATTGTTCCACTAAAATGATGAAAGGCTTAGACGATCAAACACTTATCCTAGAAAGATCCATGTTTATGATTGATTTTATACTGGTGCATTTTATAGTCGTCTTATACCTTGTAACAAGAACTCGGTCAATATCGGAATATTGTAAATTTAACGTACATGAATAGTATCGTGTCTGCCACATATTTCTTTGAATCATATTTTTGTTCATAGAAGTCGGTAATGGAGAATGGCTTGGAAATATTTCTTGGCAGTTCTTTCAAAACAGTTTGGTTTACAAATATGTAGCAAAAATGTTATTTTATACGCGCATAAAGGTATCCATTTATAATCATAATTTAAGAATAAATTGTGTCTTGATTATAACATGATTATTATTTAACAAAATAATTGATATAAATCATATACTATATAGTAGAAAAAAAATGAACTGAAAATATCAAGAACGAATGTATGTCAACACTGTCACAAGTAACTTTTATAATTCAGAAGTTTATATGAAAAAATTAAGTCGAAGAATAGTTCATATCATAAATATATCATCATTTTTATGTATAATGTGCAATAACGCACATAAAATGAATGAAAAGCTTCGTAAATGATATATTTATATATGTATCACATATAACATTATTATCAATTTACGATATTTTATAAAGCTAATTATGAATTAGTCTTTTTATCATAAATCTGCATCTTGACGAGTTAGTCAAAGTAATAACATGTAAGAGTTTCGTAGAATATAATAGCCATGTCGTCAGTACAAATATAGTGATCATTGCACAGAAGTTAGTAAAAGTGAAAATATATAAGACATGGACGCTGCATGACCTGAAAACAATTTATTCACACACGAATGGCTATTGCATACAATTATATTATATATCATCATTATTATGCATTAATAATTCGTAATATAATAATATTAACAACATATTAATTTTATACGTTATGTTTTGCATGAAATACTTAACTCATTTATAATGGATTTAATTTTTTAAAAATAATTTTAGTAATTATTGCGAAAAAGTTAAACTTTGTCGATGGCTTTGACTTTGAGATATGTTGTTAACCTCCAACAGATTCTAGCAGTGGTCGCCATTCATTAAAAAGTTATTAACAAAAGAAGTTAAAAAAATAACGTATAATTTCTGCTATAACGAAAATTGTTAATCCATATAGATTCTCGCTTTATATTATAAAATGTGAACCTGACTTTGCGTGGAAAGTCGTGCGCTCCTATGAAAGAGGGA